CAAGCAAATTTCCAGCCCCCCCCCCCTAACTTTTTAAGGAAACCCATTTAGCAGTTTTCATTTCCATTTTCGTAAATAGCATTCAAAACTCTTTCGATTTATCTGGGTCTCCATTCAAAGTCCCACGGTAAGTAGACTACCCCTCCCTGGTTAGTCCATAACAGTCTATGAAAATAGGTACCTTGCAAATTCCAGATCTGCGATGTGCCCCAATAGCTTCGATTTTTTGTATACATCCTTTGAAATCTTTGAACTCCTCAAAGGTTGGATAGAAGGTGAAAACTTCATAACCTGCGGTGCCAGTTGGGATATGTGGCGGATGATCCTTTCTAAATGGATTTGGTTTTTGGAAAATATTTATTTTACTTATCTGTTCTGTGAAATTGAAACCTAAAGTAATTCAGCGTTTATATTTACTGATCGATGTTAAATCTTTACTTGCTGATACTACAAATGCATATGTAAGCTTTCTAATTACTGTAAACCAAATGCACATCTACACCCTGATTAAGCACATGGGGTTTTGTGTCCAGTAAAAATAAATCGATAGCCGAGAATGACGATCGATTACCTGCGTGCAGAATTGCAAAAAAAAAAGTAAGGGGGAAGCATAGACCGCATGCCAACGAGAATTTTTTTGTAAGAACGGAACATTGAGCAAAGAAATATTAATTACAAGGAGGACAGACATTAAATAGAACAGGAATTAAAAATTGACAAGGAGTCAAGGGGCGGGAGCACGGCGAGGGGGAGGGGCGAGAGGATCCCTTTGAGAATGTTGAACGACAACAAAATAAAGGAGGAAACTGCTGTGATAGAGGGAGCAGGATCAGAAGAGTCGAGACCAAGGTAAGTAGCGTAAGGGAAAACGGGTGAGAAGAAGGGAGAATTATGAGAGCGATTAGCAGAAATATAAAAAACTTTAATATTTTGAGCATGCCAAAGTAGTTAACAGGAAAGAAAATGCACCAAAAAGGAAGCCTAACCTGTTAGGAAACGGAATCTTGCCACCATCAGCATACAATGTCATCTGGCCACGGTCATAGTTAAGCCACACACACAAGTGGCCTGGAAATTTCAAGTTTGAAAAGGATAGACGCAAAACAAAGCCAAGTTTCGACGACTGAAAACTTGAACGGTACCAGTAAGTAACATAAATTCGCACTCCTTTATTTATGTCAATCCTCGAAAGGGGCGTCCTGTTTCGCCCCTAAATCTTAAAATCAATTCGATTCTCATTAAGCAGCACTAGCAAAGAACATGAGTTTGGAACTTCACTATTTTTAGTACTTACTGTAAGAAGCTGAACCCAAAAACCGAACTGATTAGCGACTTAGGTTTAGCGATTGAACAGGACGCTCATTTCGAACAGTGACAATAAACAACAGCAAACAATGTGACACAGAATGTTTGTTGACAAACAGACACGAACAATGATCATACAGCAAATTATAGCTCGTCTAGCTCGTAGGAAGAATGAGTTAGGCAGGTTTATAGTCGAATAGGTGGAAGCAGTATTTGATATACGCAATTTCGATCATGTACCGGTATATCGCGTTACACATTGTAAATTGCGTTTACCGGAATTAAGTGACGTACGATTATCCTCGACTATTTATTGTTTAAAAATTATATGGTCTTCACACTGGGCCAGTATTCGGCTACAGGCGGCACAAGTCTGAGATCACTTTGTAGCAGTGTTTCCTCATGAAGAAGTCAAGATGTTTTGACAGGATGCCGTAGCATCAAAAACATCGATGTACACAAGAAAGGCGAGTTATGGGCTTTTGGTACGCTAAAGGATAGGGAGCATTCCGATGAGCACATTTACGGGTTTTAGTTCCCCTTTTTTCCCGTTTCCATGGCTGATCATTTGCCCATAACCCCAAGTTCCGAAACTTGCGCATCGCTTGCTATATCGAAATAACTGCATTTTACGAAAAGTCAAATCAAAACATCGATTTACAATTTTCGGGTATTGTCCAGTACAAAGTCAACTTGCAGAGGAAATAGTCTAGTAATGTGTGATTCGCCCGAATCCTGGCGAACATCCAAGCTAGAACAATTTCCATGTTGTCGACTAATATTTGCACGGAGGTGGTGTAGTGGCATGTAGCGCCCTAACACACATGCATAGTAAGGGTCCCGATCCTGGATCGATGTTTGCCTAAGCAAACCGAGTGTTTCTTCCTTCCATGATCGGTTGATTGATTCCGTTTGTCTTGGAGGAAAACAGTACGAAATGTACATGGGCTACCTATCGCAAGTCATGCTTAGGCTCTGTACGCATTCAAACCACCACCGCTATTCGGATTGGAAGCCGAGTGCGAGGCGCATTCCACCAGAAACTGGACTGGTTGACACCGAAGACTTTGTCCATTATGTTTGCTTACTTATGGCAATGACAAACAAATAAGCTGCAAGCTCGCAGTCAGCTGATTGCCATACATAAAGAGCTGGCTGCAAATCAGCTGACCAAGGACGCAGCACAAGGCGATTTTCACACGAGGACAAAGATTCAGTCCGGGTTCAAATTCCAAGAACCATAAGAGTGGGAAAATAATCTCATAACGCTGCCTTTCCTTGGAGGAAATTTGGGAGCCATGAGATCCATCCATGACTTTCCAGTGTTGGTTTTTCCTTGTCGAATGTGAATCAAATCTCTTCCTTTGCGAAATCCACAGATTCTTGAGCTGTATGTGTGTCCCTTCAACCACAACTTTGCAGATTCTCTCTTATAGCCCGAAATCGCTTTTCTGTTGTCCCTTCGTTCACTTCTTTCACCCCAATCGCAGTTATGTCGTTTTTCTCAGCAAAACTGTCTTCTATCTTCAGTGTGATAATCTATCATTTTCTTAAGAAATGCAGCGTTTACGAATATTTTCCTGTTTGTTTTTTGACAAAATTATTGTAAAAAAATACAAAAACGTAAAAAATAATAGTAGCAACAATGGGACACCTGTTGTCAGGGGATTGGAATTGCATATCAACGAAAAGCAACAGTCTACGAGTCTATCATTTCAGCCTATCAAAACTTCAAATGTGAGTCAATGAGCATAACTCTTGTCAGTTTGACTGTACCGAATAGAAATAGAAACACTTCACTTAATAAATAAAATCAATAAATGCTAAGATTTTAGGGTAAAACTGTAAAAAATGCAATGATTTAATTTTAAAAAGTACATAGCACGCAGTACCTCCCTGTAAATCCTGCTTTTTTCCGTTAAGTATATCTATATGTATATCACAACGTAACACTTCCATCATCATGGTAGACTGAGAAAATCAATTGGAAAGTAGTCGAGTACAAACCTACGCAAACGAAAGTTACGCTATTGAGAAGAAATACGTAGATTATAAGTAGTTCAAAAATCTATGGCTAAATAGGAAGTTTGACTCATTGATTTCTTTCTAGTTATCAGTGTAGTAGACAAGTATTGCACTTTACTGATAAAGTTTAAAATCTCACGAAATATATCATTTTTATGACCAAAGACATGAAACTTGCAAAGTACTAACAGTAATGAAAGAAAAAGCTAAATAAAATAGCTCATGCTGCTCATACCTCGTTTCTGTCCTAATAGACCTTGGCAGATCACTTAAGGCATAATATTTGCAATTTTTCTTGCATTTTAACAGTATTCATCCATTACTTTGGCATATCCAGTAAACAGCCCTAAGTAGACCACACCAAAGGCAACTTCCAATGATACACTAATCTTGTAATTTTGAAGTGTAAAAGAATTAGTATAGTAGTATTGGTTGATGAATGTTCAAGAAATCGTTAATTTGGTTGTTACACTCGAACGCCGATATTCTAATTACCTGCAAATCATTTCAAATCACTTGTTATAGAAATCTTGAAGGCAAATTGTTTGTAAACACCCATCGAAACTAGATTAAAGGAAGCCAGTATGCTTTTTAACTCAGCTTCCAAAACTGCAAACCTGTGAAATAAATCTTCGAGAGATGGGAGATTGGTTGATAAAACTGTTAACCTAAAGAACGGTTGTACATAAGTAGTGCTCGTAAATCAGTCAAACCGTTTATAACGAGCGATTTTTCAGATTCTATTCCTTGTTTTCAATTGAAAAACGAAATCACAGGCCTTATAATAAAGACGGCCCTTATAGTCCCTTGCGAGAATTGAATGGATGAGGGGTACGAGAAACGAGACGAACAGCGGGCCGCCGCGTTGATCGTCGGACGGGCGGCGCTGACGGGGCTGGCAGCCTGCCAAGGTCCTCCCTGATTGCGAAGCGCGCCAAATTCAAGAGCTTGTTTGGATGCTCGGTCGCCGCGTATCGATTCGGGCGACCACGGGCACCACTCGCACGCAGTCGCCGCCGTGGTCGCCCTTCTCGTCTATCGATCGCCGCTCAGTCCTTTGTCATTTCTCCCCTGTTTCTCCCCTCCTATAGCGCTTCTCCCCACTGCTTATGGGCCATTTCACAACCCCTTCATCGCTCTGCAAACGGCGTTCATCGAAAGATCCAAAAACGGTTTACATTTCCCGATCGTTTTTGGTGTTGTCAACAGTGCTGCATGTTTTCGTAATTCGAGTTACTCACTTAGACTGCCTCCTGAACGCCCCTGTTTTCAGCAGTTATCCTCGCTCGGGCCATGGGATGTTATGTGGTTGTTGTTGCATGCAGGTAGAGGCCAGGCGTTGGGTGCAGGGCTGGGCGCAGGTGCTGCCGCCTGCCGCAGTGGTCGCGGCGCGTGCGATCGCGTGTTTTCGCGCCCGCGCTGCGTGTGATCGCGTCCTCCGATACGCATTCGCCATTCTGGTGCCGCGCTGGCCGAGCGCCTCCACTAAAGCTCCTCTCCACTCCCTTCCTTCCATTGCATTCGCTATATCGCATGTTTCCTGCGGTCTTATAAAGCTCTATCGATTGCTCTATGATCTACAACTTCGATGTTCTACACTTGCTTCATTTCTCTACCCGTCAAGCAGTTGTTTCAGATCACTCAAGTCTTGAAAAATGGCGAAAGCTGCAAAGAAAGCATCTCCTGCTAAGAAGGATTCCAAGGCAAAGAAAGGAAGCAAAGCAAAGGTACGTCGTGACTAGTCCATTTCCCCAAGATAATTTATGCCATATATTTGGTTCAGGATCCGAATGCCCCAAAACGTGCTATGTCGGCGTTCTTCTTCTGGATGGCCGACAATCGCGAGAGAATAAAGAAGCCGGGTATGGGTGTTGCTGATGTCGCCAAAGCTGCTGGTGTTGAATGGGGCAAAGTTGCGGACAAATCGGTAAGAATTTTTCAGAGGAGCTCATGTTCTGCTTCTCTGACGTCGGAAAGTATCACATCCATAATATTGCAGAAGTGGGAGAAAAAAGCTGCTGAGGATAAGAAACGCTATGAATCCGAAATGGCTGCATACAAAGCAAGCGAGTAATTGGATGATGACTGATCTACCTCCGGACCAAGATCCAATTGCTACCCAGTGTTCCGTGATACTCATCTGTATATAACTTTCATGTACCTGTCACTGTTCGGTCTACTTCTTTACTTTTCTTCGGACAACCAATGTATTTTTCATTAGAAACCTTTTTGTGAATATTTAGCTCTGTAATACAATGAAGTTGCGAAGAACATTTCCTATTCCTTCGTTTGGAAGGTCTGAGGTCAATTCCGCGTTGATTGTGTATCGTTCTAGCCTTTTCTCTACGATGGGAACATTCCCAATAGGCTACAGTGGTCGCGTTAGGTCAAGTATCAGCGTGGCTGCGAAAACGGAGGCCTGGGTCGCCGGCGCGCCACCTGTCTCGTAATGGTCGCGGGCTGACGCGGGACGATTAACCACTGCATCCCTCCGAGCCCTATGAACTACTGGCCTAGCGACTGCGTATTTTTTGTGTATTGTGCGATGAATTACTACTTCTGAGGTTAATGCTTTTGGAATAGCAGTAGAAGGGTTCATTCTTCAACGAGTATACAAAAATTACCCAACAATTTCCGTTAGTGGGTTGGTAATTCATCTTCGTCACACCGATTGGCCAGAAATAATAAGAATCTGTCAGATGTTTCTCTGACTGTGGCTTCTACCATGGTGTAGATTTATGATAGCGATTCGGGTGTCGCCCAGGTTCGATCAGTTTTTAACCCGCTATGGTCGCTGATTTCTCTTCGGTCGCCCACGTGCACACCTTTGAATTTCTTTTTCCGTGGAAAAGGTAGTTTAAGGAAACATTTTGCCACTCGGGACAGGTCCAGTCAAGACCCGAGAGAGGCGGTCATCACCCTGAACTTGACTACTTATACTTCCGGCCACTTTTTCAAAGACAACACGACGAGGCCATTCCTTCAACGCAACGTTCGCAGGCCTGCTCTCTTCATTAACCCGTCTGTAGCGTGCACACGTCTGCCCTTAGGGATATTAGGGCCATGCAGCCATGCGTTTCCTCGTAACGGAAGTGCTTTGATTGGTTTTCTTTTATCTCCATACGAATTCCATTCGTAAATGGTACTCATAGACATCCCTCTAATCTCCCATTATTTCTTCAGAGGGAAGCGATTTGTCTCAGACAGTCGTTTCCACAAGTAAACATTCGAGTAGATTGAGCGAGGGATTTCCCCAAAGCGTGCTACGATCAGGCCTGCGCTAGAGAGCAAGATTTTCGATCGAACCATGTTTTTTCCTCGAACTGCTTCAGTCAAATTTATTGAAGACTCTACAGTAGACGACCANTTTCACAACCCCTTCATCGCTCTGCAAACGGCGTTCATCGAAAGACCCAAAAACCGTTTACATTTGCCGATCGTTTTTGGTGTTGTCAACAGTGCTGCATGTTT